ATGGAATTCTTTGTGTTCGTGCAGTTCATAGGAGATTTGGGACGGGTACTGCCAAGGTGTCCAGCCACAAAGTAGGAGAATGATTAGGGTCTTCATCCAAAGCCTTTAGTTCTGACAAGAACCTATCCGCAAGGCAGCGGGTTGACTTAGTGGAAACCCATTTGCTTGGATCAATTATTCTTCCACTGATTTTGCCGATTGAGTTGGCAGCTCAAATCAACCCCCAACCTGGAGGACCAGGAGACAGGACATTGTCTGGCCACTACTCATTGAGCTGTCAGATATGATTGCATCTCCGGCTTGAAGAAGCCATCCTGCATAGCTCTTTGGGTCATAGAGGCGCGCAAGCCATCACACCACGTCAAGGTGCAGTCTCGTCGTGGTCCCCCGTATTTCAGGAATTTTGAGGAAAACTTATCTCAAATCGAATGTTCCTCTTTCCAGTTGGGTCTGAAACTAAATCCATCTAAATGCCTTGAATGTGTTTTCAGTCTCGCTAGCTCACCTTTCCCTACAGATCCTGTTACGTCGAATTCCAAATCCCTAACCAGAGCTAGTTTCGTCAAGTATCTGGGTGTTAGCCTGGACGACAATTTAGGATGAACATCTCACATTCGGTACTGTGTCAATAAACTGCGACGCCAATCTTTTCAAATAAGAATACTCAGACATTTTCGTTCACCACCAAGAAGTATCTCCATCTTATTCGTCAATGTGTTCTTCCGGTTTTATTATATTGTTCGCTCATAGTTTTCCCCAGCCTTTTGAAGTAAGATTTCCAAGCATTTCGCCGCGGACCGGTATTTATTAGTAGCGTTTCATTCCTCTCCTTTGACTTTCTTTTAACCGGACTTGTCAAACAACATATTGAATTTTGCGTAGCCCTAGCCCACAAAGTATTACAGGATCCAACGCAGCCATTCCACTGTGACTTATTTCTTTGTCGTTCTCTCTCACCCACCCGAATTTTGACACCTTTCTTCCAAGAGTAACATACAAAACTCTCTTATACCCTATCTGGTGCGGGTGCTGACCAGCAAGGACAAGAGTAAAACGGACTTACTTTTCGAACTTGGTTGATGTCTTCTTTTCCTTTTTCACTCCTATACAACTTAAGCGCCTATATTTATATATTTTTTATTTCTACCAGTTTGTTCCTGGCATTTTGACTGAATTGTTAGCTTGCGGTTTGCATAATTTTGTCCTATGATTACAAATATAAATAATGATTAGGTGCAGCCGAAGGAGCATTCCACTCATGGCTGCGATTGAGCACTACACTACCGAGGAAAACCTACGACAGTGACGCTGAAACATAGAGTGGCGAGCCAATTAGGGTTCTCTACTAGTTTGACTTGGCGAGATTCAATCAGTCACAGGTCCCTAGGAAAACACTACTATTATCATTATCGTAATAAATAGTTTATTATTATTGTTATCAAAACTGTTATGGTTATTGACATTGCTAATACTGATATGTTGAAGTTGAGGGAAAACACCTATTTCCGCGCCGTATATAGGTAGTAACTGATGTTAGCCGTTTGAGGTGCGTAATTCTGTGTCATTTACATCAATGACAAGACCAGTGGCGTTTACAGCTCCTTTGGATTCGGTTTTGATGTTGGCGATCGATATTCCCCGTTCAGAACAAGCTCCGCAGATCACTTTGGTTTCAGTCCATTCAGGAAGTCAGATTTCGGCGTAGACACCGGAAGCCCGCATTCGATTATTACAGTAAGGTGAGATGATTCTGGTTCAGCCCGATCGAGTAGATAAAACAGGGAATCCGAGATGGAATCATAGATGAAGTGAATGATGATCATTGAAACTGGGGTAGTCATAGATGAGCTACTCTTACCTGTTGCGATTTACCCTCGCGTGCTCAACGTACCTAATTTTTGTGTAGTGATCGTCCGACATCTTCCAGTCAAAGAACTAATCGCTCAAGACACATTCGAGCTCCAGCGATTTCCCATACTATCTGACCCCCATGTATGGAGGGACTACCGTGCTCAGTCGTACGTCAGCGTGCAGTGAGTGACCTTCGTCCACACCGTAATTTATGAAATACTCAGGTTAACTCTTTCGTGGGCATGAGAGGTTCTGAAACTTCATTTATTCCTGTCGAAGTCCTAACCAAACGACTGCGTTGGTTTGTTTATGACTATTCTATCGCTGGGTAAATACGTGAATGTTTGCCTGGCTGAAGTTTTCTTGTTTCTACCATAATCCAAGTGACGAATTTTGGTGGCCATAGCGACTGTCTAATGGAGTAAAAATTGTTGGCCTAGTTATTCATGCATACAAAGCAGATACTCATTTAAATTGACAAAATCAAACAAATGTATCGTAAGTTACTTGTTATGAGCCCAGCCCTCAGAATATAATACAGACTTCATTCCCCCTTTAAACCACAAAAATACTTCTTGCGTATATTGATTCACTCTCCCTGATTCGTATTCGCTGTTGCTATGAAAATTAGAAGTTCTATAATTCAACGCAATTAACTCAGATGAATTGTGTTCATCAGAAAAATATACCAATTCGAAATTTTAAGAAACCCGTGTTTATGCTTATCATGCCTAGACCGGCCTGAATTTCAATACATCTGCATTGATCGTCGCATGAACTTCAAATAAATCAAACTGGCAATCGGAATTAAATTAAACTTCAAGAATTTCAGTCTACAAATCTATCAACAGAACAATTCCAAGTTTATATCCTAGCTAGAAGTTACTTTTGTGTGTTTCAAAAGAAGATTTCATCCTTTTCTCTCTTTCTTTGATCCAGAGACCTCCTAGAGGCAACCCTCATCCCGGTTTGCGTTAATCACAATCCTATCGTACGCCCATAGACAGTTGATCTGCTCTACTTTATACCACTATTTCCTAGGAATCAAAGTCAACCAAAATAATTGTTTCAATAAATCAACTAACCAATCGATCATCAACTTCACTGGATTTGTGACTGTAGAAGCAACATCAGTATCGACGGTAGTAGCAGCAGCAGAAGTAGTACTACTAGCCTATTGAACTACGGAATGAGATGCGAATGCTATTAGCTCAAGGTACACTTAAGATCTAGAACCAGAATTCCATGTCCATTGGTCAACGAGATGTCAACAACACATTTTCTAGCTGTGGTTACGCTGTGGAGCGGAATTGTGGTAAAATCTTAACATTTGTGAGTTACTGTTTAACAGTCAAAGGCCAATTGAATGCATAACTGTCACCTATACGTTCGCTCTCCAACGTTTTTTTCCTAACGTGACTATGGGACTTTTCAAGCAGTGTGGTAGAGCAACTGAATGAGTTCCTGAATATTTTCGCACGACTTGCGGAGGCTACAAATTACCGCTTTATTGACACAGCCAAATGATCAGCGCTATTTGGCTTCTAGAATAAGTCGGTTCTATTGGCACTTCATACGGTATGCCAACTAAAACCCAGTGAAAATGTCAACTTCCACAGGTTTGAGTTCCCATATTCATCCTCGATGCGTGTTCGTTGTTGACATCAATTAACATTGACCAGTTTCTCCTACTCAAAAATTGCAGTAGAGTTTTCATCAAAGTTGAAGTCGAGCAAACAAAGAAACTCACAGACCCCATAAACTATACTCACTTCATTCTTATCAGTGCATTGGATACGCAGTATTCAGTCAGGATTCTTTCTTTCTGTATTCCACAAATTTTGGTCGCGGAAGTGATTTCTTTGTTAGCCAGCTGCACTTATAAACCGCTGAAGTATGCCAAACCCCTACGGCGATCACTCAGTGGGAAGTTCACATATTTCATCCAATTATTCATACTGTCAGTTCACATGGTAAAGGTGACTTGAATTTTACATGACACGATCGATCACAGATGTGTTCCACGTCATCTGAATCAAATGATGATCGCGAAATTTTATTCCCGTGGCGAACTGTCTCATTTGAGAAAAATGCCACAGCGTCAGATCTTGCTCGGCAAGCAACCAGTTGAAAATTTGTTCATAAAATACTTTCTTCTTTCGGATATCACATTTTTCTGTTCCTTTGTTTGTCCGGCAGATTTGAATGGTCACTACTATAGACTGCTCGCAAATCACAGGTGTTTCCAGATCATCTTTTTGTGATGTAATTTGTTCAGTCCTTTTCCGTTTGCACGAATCTGTGTTGCTGTGTTCGTGCGTCCGTATGTATGTACCGAATACCAGACAACTGTGATGATGTCATCCAGATTGAATATTTTTCTTATTTCACGCTAAACACTGCGCACAGCGGAAAATTTGAGCCACATGCACTGAGCTACTGCAGTGGGTGATGAATAAATTATCAAGACGATGTGGATTTGAGTTAGATCCACGTGATTTAGTACAAAGGTTTCGAGAGTAGGTGCATTCCTGTACTGGCCTGGAGTCAGGCATGTAATCAACACCATAAAATAATCAGTGGGGCAGACAGAAAGCCAGTAAACAATGAATGGAACAGAACGGTTGGTGCTGAGTGGTATTCGTAAAAGCTCTAGCCGAAAAGCCTATTCATGCCTTGTGCACCAACAGGGAGTTTCGGAAGTACCAAATGAGGCCAGATTATGGTTTGACCTGCACGTCATTTCCGTGACTCTTTTTTAGTATGCACCAGCAATGCATGGCAAGGTACGCGTATGTGTTTGATTGCCTATGTCTATGTACGTATGTATATAGCATGTGTGTAACAATGTGTGTATGTGTATGTATGTATGTATGTATACTTGTGTGTGCGTACTTACAAACGTACGTATGCATATTCAGTGTGTCAGATCCGTTGTGGGCTGTACAGAGTGACCACACCACCCATAGGGTGGTTACCTTCACCAGAAAGAGCGGAGGGAATCCATAGCATACTTTGAGGGGCTCATCACAAATAAATCGGATGATTATGGGTAGACATTAAAGACAGACATACATATTTCTTCTGCGTAAGAGACTCAGAGGTGGAAAAATCGCTTGCCATGCAGAATTTATCTCATTCGGTGTTATTTAGGGAAACTGTCCTTGTTCAAAGCCACACACATTACGAATGACATGTCCTCCTCCGTGGTTCCGAACCTGTAGTGCAACGAATTAGTTTAAAGATGCAGTTTAGTCTACTTTAGGATATGCAGAGTAGATCCCGAACCCAATTACTTCTCTACGTGTCGTCCATGCTCGTTTATTGGTTTTCCAATGCTCTCTGCTTTGAAAGAGGGTGTTGAAGTTACACGTCAAAATACAGACAGACAAACAACACCTCCCTACTAATCAAGTTTGCGGGAAATATTCTTTAAAACCCGTAAGGATAACTTAAGTTTATTGCCTGGATCATAGTGGCACCATTATTTGTCGCAGGATAACGCGTTCAGAGAACTTCATGGGTCATAAATATGATACATTTACGGAACTTTAGGTCGTCGGTGGATGGAAAAAACCAGATTAACACACATAAGTGTTTTGAAGACGATGGACGCGGATATATCTACCGAATTTACAGCTTAGCCAGACATGGATCGCCAGGGAGAAGTTTTTCAGGCTAGGCGAAGTGATGAAATGGACAGTATATTCGGGACATCGGAAGGGTGTGACTACTACAAAGGGACAGCGGTGATGGTGACGTCGACACAGACATAAATTGGTGAAAGATTTTTCTGCTCCACCACCACCGATAGGCACTGCATTTTTCTCATTTATTTCTCACCCACCTCTCCGAGGAGTTGATTTCTGCAAACAATCTTCAAAATACATTTGTATGTAATTGTTGGTACGATTCGCACAAGTAACAATGAAGAAGTTTGTAGAAACTCCAGATGAGCTTATGATTTGAAACTGATTTGTGAAAGAGCTCGCACATTGATACAATAATTTATTGACTGTCTGTAGAAAGACTTTTGTCTGCGAAGCTTCTTTTTTTGTATTAGTACTCGATCAATGTTCGCGGTGCCACATGTTTTACTACGCACCCATTAATAAAATGGTTCTATCGCCAGAAACTGAACTTCCTAACATTTGATCATCTTGGGATTATTCCCATTCTTCGTCGAAATCTTCAGTTTTTACTTTGGAAATTTCACCCCGACAAAGAAGCCTTTTATTTGTTCCAATCTCAAAACCGTTAACATATTTCGGCTATGCGTTAAAGCGTTTGTTGCGACTATCCCGATGTCTAGGGCTGGGAATCTAGCCGTAACTTAGTTTCTCTAGCTACACGCACGATATGGGCAGAACACGATTACGGGCAGTAGAACAAATTCCAATCGAATAACCGTGTTTATCGATGATTCGTGGTTCTAAATAATACAATAAACATAAATATACAGCAAATAAAGGACTTACAGCCAGGTGAGAAACCAAGAACAATGGGCAGTAAGCTTCCGAAAATCGGGACAGCGCAGAAAATAAAAACGGTCCACTTAGCAGGCAGCTGAACGAAACTGTAGCGCAGTTCGGTTGCGGTACAGTCAATAAATCAAGAGCGTTTATCGTCAAAGATCAATGAATCGATTACAAACGCGTGAATTGGACTGTGGTTGCAATGGTAAAAAGTGTCATTAACAAATAAGTACAAATGAGCTAAGTCTGTGGAGTAAACAAAGGCACGTGTCAACATGAATAGGCGAATCCGGCACTAGATCTGTTAATGCCGTTGACGTATGACGGCCAATAGTGGAGTGCACTGACAGAAACGATAAGACTGGGAGTTCGAGCCTCTGCTCGGTAGTACAGATGAAACACTCGGATAGATTATATAACAGTAAAAGTGTAGACCTTCGGGAAAACAAGGTTATGAACAAATCCGTGAACTGTTCATGTAATAAGTACCATGAAACTCAAGTATAAACTGATGTGATACCTTAGAAACAGGGAAAATACATTACGAATGTCCGGGGTTCACGATGCATGTACTCACTACTAATAAGTAACTAAACAGAAGACAAAAGGACAAACTCTAATTACGATTCGTAATTAACACTGCCCCCGGGGTGGGGGAATGTCACGAACCACACTCATGAGCATAAGTCCGACTCTAGAAGACACAGCTGTCGTATGTCTCTCCGGTGAACACCGTTGGCTGTGCGTACTGCAACTTCTCTGATTCGTCCATCGCTTCCCATAACCGTTTCCTCAATTATCCCTTTGGGCCACGCCCCTCTCCGTGCGTGCGTGTCAGCTAGGAGAACCAAGTCGCCTACGTTCAGCTTTCGGCTAGGCTTATTCCACTTTGATCTTGTCTGTAGTGTTGGCAAGTATTCCTTCAACCAGCGAGCCCAGAAGGCATCTGCCAGCTTTTGCGCCTGTCGCCATCTTCGGTTCAACCGGTTGTTTGGTAGCTCGGAAGGAAATGTCGCTGGTATACCTCGTAGGAGAAGAAGGTGATTGGGTGTTATCGCGTTGAAATCATCGGGATCATTCGATATTCTGGTTAGAGGACGATCATTAAGTATTCTTTCTACCTCACAGAACATCGTTACTAACGCCTCATCTACGACCAACTGATCAGCTAAAAGTGAAAGCAGAATTCGGCGGACAGATCGTATGATACGTTCCCATACACCTCCGCGATGACTTGCCTTCGGTGGAGAGAAGCGCCATTCACAGTCTCTATTCCCAAGTGTCTTTAGAATCTTGTCTTGGTTCCAAGCCTTCAGGCATCGCCTCAAGTCTGCTTCAGCGCCTCGGAAATTCGTTCCATTGTCACTGTAGACAACACTGGGACATCCTCGTCTTGCCACAAACCGAGAAAACGCAGAAAGAAAGGAATCGGTGTCTAGGGTGTAGGCGACCTCTAGGTGTACGGCTCTCATGGACAGGCAAGTAAATATACACCCGTAACGTTTCTCAGTGGCTCTACCGTGCTTCACCAAGAAGGGACCGAAGTAGTCTACTCCGACAGCAGTAAACGGATTCTCGCCGAATAACATTCTGTCCTCAGGAAGTGGTGCCATGACTTGACTTTGTGCCTGGGAATGCCAACGTTTACAATGAAAACATTTTCGTAGTATATTTTTAACTGTAGAGTAGCCGTGTGTAATCCAATAACGTTCCCTTAATAGTGACAACACATGTGCTGCACCAGCGTGGCCATTCACTTCGTGATAATGTTGCACTAAAAGTTTGATGATGAAGTGATCCTTCGGTAGAATTATAGGATGTTTTGACTCGAAAGGTAGAGGTGCCCATCGTAGGCGACCTCCCACTCGTATTAAACCACAGTGTTTAAACGGATGGAGTTTCTGCAATCGTCCTGAGACTGGCCGGGACATGCTCGGGACCTCTGATCCTTCGGAGATTGTTCTTAGCTCCTTACTAAAGCAATCCTTTTGCACCAAACGAAGTAAGGCTAATTCTGATGACTGTAATTCTGATGGTTTCAACTGCTTGGCGATGTTCAGCTGACTAACACCCGTTTCATGTCGTTGTCGAATCCAAAAACAAAACCGCTTCAACCAAGCAATCTGTCGCAGCAAGCCTAACCAAGATTTGGCATTGCGGAATCTTTGTATCCAGCCGACTGTATCCGATGTTTGCACTGCGTTCACGCGAACCGTTTTGACTAATTCAATCTGAGGGCATACGGTGGGACTAGGCTGTGCAGACCACGAAGACACATTCTGCAAGAGAAATCGTGGGCCATTAAACCAAAGTGCATCTAGCGGCCTTCTCGGGCTGGTACCTCTCGAAGCTAAATCAGCTGGATTGTCTTTGCTGTTCACGTGGACCCACTGTTCAGGTTCCGAAAGTTCACGGATCACCGCCAGACGGTTGGCCACAAAGGTTTCGAAACGAGACTTGGTATTTCGTATCGACTGCAAAACAATTAGCGAGTCTGTCCAGAACGTAGTCGAGCAGATAGGTACGGAAAGTTCTTCTTTGGTGAAGGCAACTAATCTTACTGAGACAACAGCAGCCGCAAGCTCCAAGCGCGGGATGGTCACGGATTTCAAGGGAGCTACACGAGACTTCCCCAATATTAGAGAACAGTTTATCATTCCATCTTCGGTAACAGATCGTAAATAGAGTGCTGCTCCATAACCCAGTCCTGAAGCGTCACTAAATGCATGTAGTTCCAGTCGTGGATCTTTTTTCTCATCCATCGGACGTATACAACGGTAAATTCGTAGATTAGATACTGCTTGAGTTTCACTGAGACACACAATCCATCGGTCGATTTCTTCCTGGGTTATTTCCTCGTCCCATTTGGCCTGTCTTCGACATAGGTCCTGGAAAAGCAAATTAGAAGGCAACAAACTTGGAGATACAAGCCCCATGGGGTCGTAAATTAAAGCAATGTATGTAAGTACACCTCTCCGGGTATATTTTTGCTCCCAAGGTGGATTCCATTGTACTCTCAAATTTCGGTTTACTTCAGCTGGCTGTCGATCAAGGAAAATGGGTTTGGTTTCTGCTTTCGGCAGTTCTCCCAAAGCATGTGGCACATTACTGAAGAATTTAGTCAAGTTGAAACCGCCTTGCAGTAGAGCGTGCCGCAACGTCCTTTCCATTCTTCCAACGTCCTCCATTTTAGGTAAACTCATCAAACAATCATCTACGTAGAAGCTTTTCTTGGCTTGATTGATCACTGCAGTGCCGTAAATTGCCATATTACAGTCGATAGTGTTCTGCAAAGCTAAGCTGCAGCATGACGGCGACGAGGTGGCCCCAAATGGATGAGACGTCATACGACATGCTTTTGCTTTGTTGGTCACGTTACAGTCAGGCCACCAGAGGAACCTCAGACAATCGCGGTCGCTTGATGGGACCTTCACCTGATGAAACACAGCTTCAATATCGGCTACCGAAGTGTACCTATACTCATGAAACCTCAACAGCACTTGGCACAAACTGTTGACAAGGTCTGGTACCGTTAGTAGTTGTTCGTTCAGTGATGTGTGAATGACCTCCACAGCGCAGTCGAACATCGCTCTAACCTTGGTTCGGTCGGCGTGTTTATATACGTCGTTTTGCGGAAGATACCATACTTGGGGGCCAGTTAGGTTTTGCTCAGTCCCAGGTACCATCTCAGCGTAACCTTTTGATATATATTCGTTAATCGTTGCGCAGTACTTTTCCTTCAATAACTGATCGTTTTCAGAGACCTTGTTTGGCACTGGTTGTTTCTGAGTCAAAACACGAATTCCAGGTTCCTTGACGGATATCTGGTCGACAGGTTGATCATTTGAAGTTGGGAGAGACTGTACATAGTTTTCGACTAGTTCGTGCTTCTCAAATGGCTGCGGAGTAGGTGGTCGAGAAGTCTGGGCCGACAGTATTGACCGTTCTTCCGCTTCCAGCTCACTTATGTTCTCTGCGAGCCTCATTCTGATATCACTGATATGTCTTTCGGTTTCCAGCTCAAGCTCCAACCTTTTTATCTTTAATTTTGCCAATTTCAGCTCTCGATTCAGCTTCCAGTCGGGGGATGGGCCTTGTGATAACTGACGTTTACTGGCGGAATCTTGACGGGACTGCATTTGACAGAATTTCCTTCAATTCCGATTCGGGCAGTATATCAAAGCAGCGGTTTGGTTATCTGGCTAACTGTTGCGACTATCCCGATGTCTAGGGCTGGGAATCTAGCCGTAACTTAGTTTCTCTAGCTACACGCACGATATGGGCAGAACACGATTACGGGCAGTAGAACAAATTCCAATCGAATAACCGTGTTTATCGATGATTCGTGGTTCTAAATAATACAATAAACATAAATATACAGCAAATAAAGGACTTACAGCCAGGTGAGAAACCAAGAACAATGGGCAGTAAGCTTCCGAAAATCGGGACAGCGCAGAAAATAAAAACGGTCCACTTAGCAGGCAGCTGAACGAAACTGTAGCGCAGTTCGGTTGCGGTACAGTCAATAAATCAAGAGCGTTTATCGTCAAAGATCAATGAATCGATTACAAACGCGTGAATTGGACTGTGGTTGCAATGGTAAAAAGTGTCATTAACAAATAAGTACAAATGAGCTAAGTCTGTGGAGTAAACAAAGGCACGTGTCAACATGAATAGGCGAATCCGGCACTAGATCTGTTAATGCCGTTGACGTATGACGGCCAATAGTGGAGTGCACTGACAGAAACGATAAGACTGGGAGTTCGAGCCTCTGCTCGGTAGTACAGATGAAACACTCGGATAGATTATATAACAGTAAAAGTGTAGACCTTCGGGAAAACAAGGTTATGAACAAATCCGTGAACTGTTCATGTAATAAGTACCATGAAACTCAAGTATAAACTGATGTGATACCTTAGAAACAGGGAAAATACATTACGAATGTCCGGGGTTCACGATGCATGTACTCACTACTAATAAGTAACTAAACAGAAGACAAAAGGACAAACTCTAATTACGATTCGTAATTAACAGCGTTTACTCCTATGTATCGATGGAAAAGTTCATATCATTGCCTCAAGTGAGTCACGAACCAGTAGTGAACGATTCTGAATCGAACACCTTACTACCTGGTTATCTAGACGGTGTGTTTACTGTCAACGGACATGATTTATGCCACTAGTCTTTTGAACGGCAAAAACTTGTCGCTTGCACAGTGATCGAGTCATATGCTGAGCAACTTCTCCGTAAGGACCCAATCATTTCGGTACAAATAGCTCACAGATTTTACGTACTTGATCAGTGAAAGTAGCGGGAGATTTGATTTGCTAATAAAATGGTTCGTCAAGTATCATTAGTGCTCAACTCATGAACCAAATCTTGCATGGGTTATAGATGTTTTCTACTGTAAAGATTATTATTATATTATCTGCAGAATGCACCTGATGAGATGTAGGGGAATCAACCCTGAACACACTGTGCTACGTTACTGTGAGGCTGTGGGCTGACTCATCTATGGTAGACAGCCTAGTCTCGTTACCCAGCCAGCACAAAACGTGGTAAAAACGTGTTAAAAACATGTTTTTACCACTTCAAAAAAGGGGTTTTTTAGGCGTTCAGTGACCCCGATAATATCGCTTAAATACCACTTAGTAGTATCACTTAAATACCACTTAAGTACCACTTAATAATACCACCTAAGTACCACATAAAAAACACTTGTCGATGGAACGCGACAGGACCCTTTTTACTTAGACACCTCTGCTCCGGCTTCCGTATAGCCTTCGCACTAAGTGGCAAACATAAGCCAAACATAGCTCTGTAATACTGGCAATATTTCATTAACAGACCGATAATACGTACATAAACGACCTGATCTTAATTGTTACCGCGAATATCCCGGAAATATCTCACATTTCTTCTTAGCACTCAATTCGACAGTGTGGCTTGATGAAAAAACAAATAATAACTGGAACAATATATTATAACTTTTTACAAGCTCAAGCAGCACTCTCCGGCTCCTCCGATTCCAGGTGCGGTGCGGTCTGAAAATCTACGGAATTTACTTGGCAATCCCGGTTTGACCTAATGCATTTCCGAGACCTCGTGTTGTGTAGCCACATGCGAACATGAAATCGGAACTCTGAATCCGAATGATTCGCGAAAATAGTGTGTGATTTAGCAGCATCTGGAAAATAAGGTGAAAATAGGTATAAACTTATAGAGAAACGCTTTGCTGGCTCGATGAATATCACAGACTCATAAGTAATTGAAAGGAAGTACCTTGCATCACTCCAAATACGAGTTTGTCATCAAGCGCAATTTTTTGGTTTTTTCCTGAGAGGCTGCATTCTTTCACGAGGTTGGCATGCAACACTTTCAGCAGTAGGGCCCGAACTGTCTCACCAAATGTTCGCCCACCTACGGAGGACAGTAGGGTGAACTGAAAAAATAAATAACTTCAAATACGTAAACCTACCAAGCTTTTTCGGCTGTGTTTGTTGGTCAACCGCTGCTCAGTCTTCATGAGATCATCAACGCTTTCCAGTGGCAGATGAAAATCCTCCTTGGCCATAAATCCAGCTGTGTCCACCGTCGAAATGTGGATCTCTTTTTGCTGGTTTGCGGCCAAAATCCTGCAACACATTTCCCGCACTTGAACTAGATCTTCTTCAGAGAACATTCAAGTAATGACTGAAGACTTGCCCTTCATACGTCCAATGTCGTGTTGCATCTTCTGAAGCCGTTGCTCCACTGCATCACTTGAAGCCCTTGGTGGACTGTAAAAGTAGGAATTAATCGGTTCCACGCGAACGCAATCCTTTGAGTTGGACATTTTCCTCATGGGTACTCTTCTTGGCGCCATTGATGTTGATGGAATTTCTTCCCTGAGCACAATGCACATGAAAATATGCTCATACCTCAATTCCAGTGTGCTTGGCGGTGTCGGATAAGACTGAAATATTGGTGGTACGTTTTCTTTTTCAGAATGTTTTCGGCAGTCCTCCATTTCAGGTGAGTTATCCGATTCATCAGAGCTTGATTCGGTGGTCAAGAATCGATGTGGTCGTTTACTGAAAAATGTACCAATCAAAACATGTTCTCATTACATTAAGCGCCGCGGGCGCACATGTCCTTCGTGGAAACCCTGGTTTTCATCATCGCTATTAGCAGAACCACTTCTCAACCTTCCCGCTTCCTGTATATCATCTGTAAAGTGAAATAAATGAATTTTTAGGACTTACTGCAAATGTAAAGGATATTGACTTCGTGCAAGGTGAAATTGATGCCAGGGTCTTCATTGTTCCGGCAACGACGGTCCACTTCTTCCTCTGCAGTCTGAAGCCAGCGCAAGTACCTGCCATTTACCACCCACTTTTGTGGGACTATTTTCGTAACTCCCAGGCTTATGATTTTCACAATAAGGAACATTTAAGAGTGCAGGAGAAGTAGGAGTTTCTGTATACTTCCTTTTACATAGGAAGATGACCAGCGAAGTAACGCAGTCAGAACTAAGTAAGAAGATGAACACTGTGTAAAAATAACTTTATCTCCGTAGTGTATGCAAAACAGGGACCACAATCCCAGTGTCGTCAACTGGTATGTAAAAATATTTACACAGTATTTCTGTAAGATTCGCACACAGTTTCTCCGGCAAAAGTACACTTACACGGAAAATTAACAGACGAGAAGATGGTATTTCGTGAGTGAAAACATCTGCTGGTTCTTTGAACCGCTGGTAAAAAATGACGTCATCTACAATATCCACGACTTTACCAGGGTTCATTTGTACGTTCACAAAACAGTCTGCACCCTCTGTAGTGAGAACGGTACTTTGCCATTTGATTTGCTTGATTCCTCGGGGTACGCGGAATCGATAACAACCTACATCATCGGACTCATCTGGCGGCTGCATTCGTTGGCCTATGTTGTAAGCCTCAGAAATTCGCCTGAAAATCTGTATATGGGGTCTATTAGGTCCCCTGATGATTCGCCTTAATTTTGACATGAATGACTCATAGACAAAGGCTGAAAATAGGTTTACGTTCCCAAACCGTTTGACATCTAACCCTAAGTGAGCCAATGTGTGGACATTGTATGATAATTGCGATGGTGAATACAGATACTGAAGTTGAGAAATAAACTTTTTTAACAGGTTATCTGCTAATGGAAAATATGCAGAGAAATAATCACCAGAAAATATGTACAAAATAATGGACAAGGTCAGAAAGTTTAGATACGGTAATCTACATAAAACACGCTGCAAGTAAACTGGACCCATATAAAGTGCAAATAGCCGTAGTTCGGTGGCCTTCCACCTTTCCAGATGACATAGCGACCTACATTTTCGCGCAAAGTCACATGGAGTCCATTTACCGCACTTTATGATTAGATCCGATAGGCGATCGGCATCACAACGTTGTATTTTATAGTTTATATCGTTCTTCAGTAGCAACATGATCTTGCGAACTACACCTAAGAATATCAGATGCATAGGTTCACAAGGAAAAGCAGCTATCATATCAATAGGCAGTTCTTCAAAAGGTGAGCGCGTCGATTGATGGTGACCCGGATGCAAACGCGTGCGAAATGAAGCGTCTGTGCGAAGGGAACTACACAGATTGGGAAATGTCATACGACCCGCGACATAAACACCTTTGCAAACACACCTATCACATCCGTGGTATCCAGCATGTCCCTTGATCTGCTTTATAAAAGCTCGGGCAGGGGCGTCACACAAAACGGCTTGCAGATTGACGTCAATTTTAGAAGGCCTTCCGGGAATAGCAATTCCATTACTTATAACGGGCTTTAATTCCGAAATCAAGTCCGTTAGATATTCAGCCACGTCCAACGGTTTGCTGTCACCATAGAAAACCCCAACAACAAAGGAGCACGTGAGAACTGGTTTCACGATACGGAATTGTATGGGCCACAGATGTTTTGTGGAGTCCTTGAAGCAACACATGCCGTCGAAATGTAGCTGAATGGAGATGCAGGTAGGAATGGGATCCATATGAACAGCTTCACGGAGTATTGCTGCATGTAAGCCCAAATGCACATAAAAACCACCGGGAATGACACGTGATTCGCATGTGCGAGGCGTACCAAGAATCGTCCGTGGATCCCGGGGTACTTGGATAAAATGTGAACTTAACATTTGTAACCATCGTCGTAAATCCGTTAGTGACATGTTGCATTGGCTGTACAAAAGACGGATATCATCCAATATGTTTCCAGTGCTTATCCATGTGTTCGCATCAGTCACACTCCTGAATTCCGAAGCGGCAATATGATTGCCAAATGTAGAAGTATTCACGTGTTCCGCATTGTCTAAGACATAAATGAACACTATGTAGGTAACCAAGTCTTACCAGCCGGACTCCGGCAGACAGACGTCCCGGCTGAATCCGATGTAGATGCTTCTGCTGCTGACCTGTCTGATGCTCGAAGCAGTTGACGCAGTCTTCGTTTCTTAGCGGATTTTGACGAACCAGGATGGGAAAATGTTCTTCCAGGCATTGTTAAAATAGTTAAATCTGCATAAATTAAGAAGAGAGGCTGAAAAGAGATGACCATCAACGAACTGCACTTTGTTTCATGGTTTTCAATAAATATTATGAAACTGAGCAGATAGATCGCTGCCCTGGGACAAAAGATCACTAATCCAAGTACTACAATGAAAAAACGGTCCGAAGTAAAGTGAGTTATATTACGAGAATCAAATTTAGGGATCTGTCCTGAACTTGTAGCGGTTGCCATCTTCGTTCATACTTTTACCACGTTTATTGTTTAACTGAACGCTGACTGCCAAGCGCGGTTGCCATTTGACCGTTGCTCTTGCGCACGCTCTCACGCACGCTCCCAAATACACGCTAACCACTATCTCTCCCAATCGCCTTCTCGTTCTCACGGGTCGTGGAGAATACTGTTCTGGTTAACATATTTGTGCAGTGCCGCACATTAGAGTAACGTGCAGGTGGTCCACGCAGTACAAAGGACCGAAGCACGCGTTTACTAAGGAAACCGCGAAGTAAGGTCTAATCAACCTTACAATTGGTGAGCCCGACGTGATCCGCAGGTCACGTGAGTTTCCTTGTTTTCTACCGTTCAAGGTCCCGTCTGCGTACGTTTTTGTGTGTTTTATTGTTTCCCTATCTTGCTTTTTTTTTGGTTGGTTTACCAAATAATTTTTTTTTCGTCCATACATATTTTGTGTGTCTAATTCGTCGCGATATTTTTTTTTTCTTCGCGAAGACTATAGTGCCCCATTTTTCGTTGATTTCTTTTCCCGTCTGTATTCCATAAAGTAATCGCTATGTCTGCCGAACGGAAATCCTGCTCAGACCCCACTGTTGGGGCGATCACGCTGCACATACCGGCATTCACGCCTGCTGATCCAGAACTCTGGTTCACGCTGGTTGAGTTAGAATTCGAAAACTGCCGTATAACCAGTGACGCCAGCCGTTTCAGGTGGGTAGCAGGCCGCCTCCCGCCGGAGGTCACGCTGCAAGTAAGGGACGTAATAATCTCTTCCCGAAGCTATGAGGCCCTAAAGGAGGCCGTCATTGCCCGCACGACCCCAACACAGGACCAACGTATGCAACAACTTCAAAACGTTGAGCTTGGAAGTAGGAAGCCCTCCGAACTGCTGCGTGAGATGCAGCGCTTGAGAGGACCGACGGTAGGCGAGGACCCGCTCTTAAGGGAACTTTGGCTGCAGCGTTTGCCGCACAACATCCCAGTTTTACTAAGTGCCACGCGCAAGTGTTCACTGGAGGAAACTGCAGCAATAGCTGATGACATTATGTCACGATACAACCCCGCTGTAGCTAGAGTAACCAGGTCCTCCGTCACAACGGTGCCTGCCCTGCCAACATCTAACGACCTCGCGTCAGTTTTGTCTAGAATTGACGCGAGCCTGCAACGCTTAGCAGTTAGAAGTGGGTCACAGGAGCAGCACCGCGCACGCTCACCTAGGCGCCATAGTCCGTCATTGCGACAACCCTTCGGCTCTTCAAAAGAGGGTTATTGTAAATACCACAGTCGTTTTGGTGAGGGAGTTAAACGATGTGAACGAGGGTGTGCGTTTCCCGGGGCCCATCAGGGAAACAACCCCCGGCCCGTGGTGGCGACCCACGAAGCCGGGTATCAGACCAACAGTCGTCTTTTGAACGTAAGGGACATCATTTCAAATAACCTATTTCTTGTAGATACCGGTGCCGAAGTGAGCGTCCTTCCCCGAGCGAAAGACGACAATAGCACACAGCAGGCCCAAACACTACGCGC